AGGCCATGAAGTTGGATGTTATCAACCACCAGATCAGATTCCTCCGCCCTGTCTTCATTGAGGACACAGTTTACTTTGAGCAGCGCTTCTTCATCAAGATGATCCAGGCCAGGAAGCTCAGCATTACTGCCGCCAAGCGGTGGTACCGCAACGCCGAGACTGCCGCCTCTGTCGTGTACGCCAACACACCCAGCCCTCATGCTCAAGCGTTTGGTGAGACCGGCACTTTCTTCAAGGCCGTCACACACCTTGTTCTGCCTTCCACATCGACTGCAAACGTACCCAATACCTTCCTCTTCGATGGCGAGCGCATCCTCAAGCTCAGCTCAGATATGTACGACAGCATCTGCCTTGAGATTTGCATGCGCAAGTATAAGGACTACGAAAGTCTCTCGAGGCAGTTCTCCTCCGGTGTATCGGCTTACCTCTCTGAGGACAACGGCCGTACACTAAGTACCCGCTCGTCCGCCGAGTTCAACTTCTCCCGTCCTTCCAGTTTAAGTCTAACCTTTAGCGATCGCAACTCTCTGTCTTCAACTGCTTCCTCTCCCCGCAGCTCCGTCATCTTCACACCCACTACCGGTTCTTGCACCACTCCTCCTCAGGATTCTGCCGAATCCCGCCGAAAGGCACAGGATCTCTACCCGTCTCTTCTCGCGCTCCTCCACACCGCCCCTCCCGCCAGCCGTCCCGACTACAGGTGGAGGAACCTCGCCGGCGCGATGGCCCTGCAGATCCTTCGCTTCGTCAAACACCCCCAGGCGTTGGCCTCTTTTCGCGTGCAACTGGTGGGAAAATCCAGACCCCCGGTACTAGGGCGTCCAATGCCGGCGGAGCTGGCAATCACCTCCGCACTCCTGGAGCCAGCAAGGTGATGGGCATCCAGAGCCTTGGTGGCAGTGAGCCCACAACGACCTCGTCTGCGTCCAACTCATCGACCAACAGGGACCCCAGCGAGGAGGCCAGTGTTGAGGACATGGCCACGCGGGTTGCCCACTTTGGCATTCTCCACTGGAGGGTGTGGGCACAGCTGGCGTATGTCGGCGATGTCGAAAGTAATTTCAATACTACGAGTTAGTAGCCTACATATAGGCTTAAAGCTCGGCGTATACTAAGTAGTTCACTGTGGCCATGGCGGCTGCCAATATATAAGGTTATGATTGTAATAGCCTGGTTACCTGTCGCAACTATATAAGACCACTTGATACCCGAATTGCCTAGCTTCGGTTACTTGTATCCTGCTTCAATTACTTGTATCCTTTTGGAACATTGTGGTCTTGTAACCTTTTAGAACATAGTTTAGTGATGTAGTGGTCCGCCAGCGTAGTGCAACAACAACCCTATAAGGTTATTATAGCCTGTATACTGCATCTACTTCTCTATCGATGTGTAGAGTAATCTTTATGCACCGCATTTGTTCCTCCATCCCCTCCATGCACGGGCCACAACAACCTCATGAGGTTGTTGTGGCCCGTGCACCGCCTCTGCTCCCCTCCCATCTTAGTCATTTTGGGGTCTGGATCATTTGGCGAACTTGCCCACGGTCGCAAATTAAAAACGTACAACTATGGTTTACCAAAAGTACTATCAACCACTACTTTTCTAAAAAAAACGACTTCCACGCTTCGGTATTTTCTTCAGCTATTCCTATACACATTTTCACTTTGCCATCTCTCGCGTACTCCTAACTTAGGATTCACGAACTCTCTTTAACCTTTCCGACCGCCTAGGCCCCAAAATTCCAGCATCTACCATATTACCCTCTGAATCACTTTGAGTGTCATCGTCAGACTCCTCAATATATTTCCGCTTTTGTTGAATATAGGGTTGCCTTATATTCTCCGAGCGTTTCATTGCGTAAGTCTCACCGCCCAATCTACTATCTTCAGAATTTGTTGTTCCCATTTCGTCGGAATCACGACTCTCCTCCACTTTACTTCTAGTATCATTCTCCCTATTATCTTTTGGTAATAGTAAAGTTGTGTTCGGCGATGTCAGTGCTCGCCCGGTTGATCCATCGCACCCATGGACATCTCTAGTATGGTGAAGCCACGATGCAAAATCCTTGATTTCCGCCGCCTTTCCTTGTTGGTGGCATTCCGTACAGTGGAATGGTTCTTCCAAGGTGTGGAACTGATTCATATGTCGAGAGAATGAGTTTCCAGGAAAATAGAGCAAGTTGCATATTAAACAACGGGCGGACTTTGCTCTAGTGTTCTTCTTCGGATTGGAACAGGGGTTCGAAATATTAGGAGTATAGAATAAGCCATGTTCTTGATGGACACGACTACTGTAGTGTGCTTGATCTTCAATCCTATAGGTCTTCCCTTTCTGTAGACATCCAGGACACGGAAACGGTTTGTCGAATGTCTTATCCTTTTGGTGTTGTGTGTTATGATGTCTGGTAAGATTGCCTCAGCGGTTAAAACGTTGAAGACATATAAGGCAAATGTACTCCTCTTCATGGGTTGTAGGCGTATTAGAGATCATGCTGAGTGGGCTTTTTGACTTTATTTCGCTGCATTTCTGATTGAGAAATTTCAACATTGCATCCGCGACCTTTGTTCGGTCGTTTTCGTGAAAGTATAGGTACATAGCCTCTGCCGCTTGAAAACTGTTCGAATATCGGTTTTTGAAAGGATTAGGCGGTCCAGGTGGTAGAGTTTTGGTTGATTCACCGAGAAGCCGTTTAGCGTCCACCTTTTTGAAATACTCATCTCGGGCGTTGTTTACAACTTGAGTGTAGAGAGTTTTCGTAACTTATATAGCTGGTCGTTCTTGCTCTTTGCCTTTCGATGGGATGAACCTAGATTTTTGCATAGCTCTTGATATTCCTCTTTAACCCTTTTTACATCTTCTCTTGCTTCGATATTTTGTAAAGCGGCCGGGCTAGGATATAAGGGCGCATTTTCGTCCCTTTTGAGTGAAGCGGAATGGATTGATCGATGAAGACTTCTTGCCTGGTTTGGATCCCCTTCGAAGACGAGAGCGATTAGATTCGCTCCAACATCTCTGGCTTGGTAAGAATTATTGAATGTTGTCAGCGGCGCCACCGCCGTCAGTGTGCTGTTGCCAGAGTGTCTGGCGCCATGCCTTTCTCGTGCAAGTCCACGAAAAGAAGTGCGAGGTCTGGATCCTAGCGATGAAGCGCTGCCAGTAAACTCCAATAGCAAGGGAGAGATTCTCCCGCGTAGCCGCTTCGCCCGTGACCGGGGAAACTGCATACGCCTTTCTGTAGAAGAAGGGATGGAAGGGATTCTTCCAGCTTCCACAGAAGCATGTCAGCAGGGCGTCCTCGTGCTCGAAGCGCTCGTGGTAGTCCTTGAAATCCCCGTGGCCAGACCTGGCCGCGAGGAGGTAGTGTAAAGAGCGTCTGTCCAGCTCTTTTAGTTCGTCGTTAGGCTGGATAGAGACCCCCAACCGGTAGTCTGCATATGACTTTTCTCTTGCAGGTAGTGGGTGGGATGGCGCGTTTTTGAAAACCGAGGTGAGCTCAATCGACCTCTTATGACTCCACTCTTCATAGGACTCTCGTAGATGATTACTTCTCCTTGTAATTCTTTGAAAATTATAGCAGCCGTATCCGTCTGATATAATGTATGTATTTCGTGAACTTTTTTCATGGCGGCAGTAGCTCTTCCTTTAAAAGGCTTATCTAAGTCTTTGCGTGTTGGTGGTCCTTGTGCTTTATCCTCAAGCGTAAAAAAATCGTTGGGAACTTTTCTTTGGACCGATAGACAAGTTTTATCATCGAAAAAAGCCAGGTCAAGACTCGTAGCAATTGAGTTCACCATCTTTTACAACGTAGACGGCAACGACCCAGACCAACTGCTTGAAGGTTGTCTCTGGCGGTTACAAGGCCGCGTCTACGTTTAGTGTGGAGACGGAGACCTTCTGCCCACCCCTCGACCTCTACCTCAACAAAAGGGTTAGGGCGTTTGAGGAACGGCTCGCCCGCTCACCGGCGGCGGCCTTCGTTAGAGGAACGCCAGCTTGGGTGGCGGCAGAGTTACAGGGTAGAAGGAGAGGTAGACAACTACAGCTGCCCCCGGTCAGCGGCCGAGCGAGAAACTGTGTAGGCAAATCATTATATATAATTCTCTCTACTAATTACACTAATTCGCGAAGCTATCTCTCCGCCGGCCCAGGTTCAGAGGAGAGTGGGGCCCACATACGGATGAACCTATGGGTGTGCGGATCACATTCTTATGTACCCTGGACGCCAGATTCGGATCAGCAGACTTGAAGACGGCCAGCCACTGTGTTGCCAACAGCCGGCTGAAAACCCTCCACTTTCTCTAAAACGCCTTCGAAAAATATTAGCGATAAGACGGTAAAGAGAGATAGCGTTGCCATATTCTGGACCATTGAAAGGAGGCTAAAGATGAGGTAGACGCATGCTAATCCTGAGCCAGAACGATCCTAAGCTAGAACGATCCTGAGCTAGAATGATCCTCAGCCAGAACGATCCTAAGCCAGAACAATCCTAAGCCAGAACGATCCTGAGCCAGAACGATCCTGAGCTAGAACAATCCTGAGCCAGAATGATCCTGAGCCTCAACAACGCGCGAACATCAACATAGACGAAGGAGCACCACTCCGTGGAGCAGCCCAAGCAGGTCATTTGGAAGTGTGCAAATTCCTGATTTCAATGGATGCCAACGTTATGCTTCGCAGCGGGCGTTCTGGCAGTGCACTACATCACGCAGCCCGTGGGGGCAGTCTGGATATCTGCAAGCTACTGCTCAAGAAAGGAGTGGACATCAACTCCTTAGGAGGTGAGTATGGAAGGGTGCCGTTGCATGATGCAGCAAGAAGTGGACACCCCGACATAATCGATCTGTTTCTGCGCCAGGACAACATAGAACCAAACAAGAAGACCGACAAAGAAGGCATTGGCCGCACGGCGGCAAGAGCGGCAGCTGTCATGGGGCAAATTCAAGTATTGCGTCTTATGCAGGCCTCTGGAAAAGTGGACATGAGCGGTGTTCTTCAATCAGCCTGCACAAAGATTTCTCGCTCCTTAGACACGATCAAATACCTACTGAATAACGGCCATGCCAGTCAGGCGGACGAGAGATGTGTGTGGACCGTTTTGGGAACAGTGCAGGCCAAAGTTACCCAGGACTTCTTTGCCAAAGTGGGATTAGCTATGGACATGCTATTGTCCACGGGAAACCCGACGTTCAGCGACGTCAATCGTCTTGCGACAGAGCTGGGGTATGAGATTGAGATGAAACTACTGGCACAGGGCAGCGCGTCATGGTATAGAGATATGAAAAGGCGCTTGAGGGAGAAGCGAACGCCGTACTTTCTTTCAATCATGGAGTACCCGAAATGGGGGATCAAAGGCTCCGCTTGGTCTAAGTTCCTTGAGTTGAGAAAAAAGGTGGGAATGGAAATGGAAATGGACACTGTACTTGAAGAGACCGTCAACAAGTTTGTTAGAAGAATTGAGGACAACAGGAGCACGACAATCATTGATGATGAGCCCGAAGTGAAGGGCAAGGAAGTGAAGGGCGAGGAAGTGAAGGACAAAGGAAGTGGAGGGCAGGGAAGTGGAGGGCAGGGAAGGGGAGGGCAGGGAAGGGGAGGGCAGGGAAGTGGAGGGCAAGGGTAAGCCAACCTGGCTTTCAATAGTGATGGATGGATAATGAGACAGATGAGGAGATGGGTGAGTAGAAGGATGAGGAAGATGAAAGGTCTTGAAGGGAAGGACACATATTTTTAGTAAGAATGTTAATTTCCATTTTTGGGGTTTTTTGTTGCCTTAAGCTTTGTGTTTCGGTCTTTCTTCTGGGAGTCAGAGAGAATATATGGATTGTGAGAGAATATTTATCGGTTACCTTTAAGCATTATATAAAAGAGCTTAGAGATACCTAACTTATCACACCACTCCTTTTATCTACGCGCACCATAAACAACTTGCCGCACCATCTTTTACGACCAATACTAAAGTGGGGCGTTTTAAATCGTCAATTTCTGAGCTTGCAATGTCACCACCATTGAAGGCATCGCCAACCTTGGCGTCGCCACCAACCTTCCAAATTACCATCGCTAACCTTGAAATCGCTAGCCTTAACAACACGGACCCTAGTGGATTGCCAGAGCCTTTACGCTACGCTTATAAAGGTAACCAATCAGCAATACCATGCGATTTGAGACGCAATGAAGTTGATGAAGAAAGTCACTGAAACTATTGCGCGGTTGGTTTACTTGTGAGTTGCAGACGAACTTTTGAGACGCTTTTCCAAGGAAACTTACATTGGAAAACGGTAGACTTTTTCCGCCAGCTGCTTCCAACTGCCTAAGGTGGTGAAGTAAGTACTGCGCCAAGTGAAGCTCATACGAAATATTTCACTCCATCAACGATCTTCGTCAATGCGACGATTTGCCGTCACGTACCTTGGTGCCCATTACAGTCAGGTACGGACAAGCCACGATATCTGTTAACAATCATTCACAAATCCCATTTCTTCGCCGCTGGTGCTGCCATGTGTAAACTGAAGAGTGGTCAAATCATCTTGCACATATCGTTCGTACTGCCTCAAACAAGCCGTCTACGCCACGATTATATCGGCTGCAGGCCACCGCTTTATAATCATATAGCGTCCGTTTCGGCCCCAAAAGGCAAGGATATAGGCGCATTGCCAGGTTTTATAACCAGGAATACGAGCTTCAAAAGCCATTTGGTCTGTTCAATGGGTTTCCGACTCGAACGTAAATCGTTCTCGTGAAAACGATGTCAATGTGATGCCCTGTGATGAGTGACGGAGAGGTACTCGAGGGAAAAGTACCCCTCAAAAGACACTCAAACGCGGATTCCTGCCCAACAAGAGCAAACCCAATCCCTCCCTGCCTTCATTAACAACACATGCCTTGAAGTCATTAAAAGATTGCTTTGACGTTGGAGACAAGTAGAATGATGAAAATAGACGCGACAAACTCGACAGGATACTTCTCCAGGGGTGCCTCTGTCGAAGACTTGGGGTTCTGTTTACAGTGGGCATGGTGGACACGATGGGGCAAGGGCCCAAGCGCGCAGCCACAGCGACCGAAAAACTACCCCCGTTTGCATGCGCGATTGAGCGCATCAACTCTCGTTTTTTTCACAGAGAAGAATGCATTGGAAGGGAGAATTAATGATTGATGGGATATTAATGTTACAAAAAGCACTGGATTGTAGGTTCGTGGGCGAAGAATGCGGTTGGGTGGTCTTGGAGGTGCCCTTCCGTAGTGCCCCGCTCGGCCTCTGCCCTTTGCGACGAAGTCTGGGTTTTAGGACGATGACCGCAAAAGTGCGCTAATCAGCCGCTGAAAGCAAGCCAGTCAGCCTTAACAGCGCTCCATCACAGCCGGTGTTAGCCAGACCGGAACAGAGAGCCAACGGACAAAAAGATGCGATCATCTCTTTTTCCAGGGCATCATAACGTTCGGTCCGCGCGCTTCAACCGATCTCTTTCCCGCCTACATTACCCCTTCGGATGTCGAGCCACTTGCAAACAACACCTTGCCATGCCGGCGAATACAACAATCACTCCCAAAATGGTTCCGTATGTTGCCCACATGCACACCAACGACGCGTTTCCGTTTCCCCAGTCCGAAACCCCGATTTACTGTCAAACTCCGAGCACCAACTTTTACGCTCCCATCTCCCTTCAAACTGAAGCACCTCGTCTCTTCCCTCGTATACAAAAAATCTGCTTACCTAACAAATAAACAAACCGGACCGTCAAACGATCGATCTCCCCCAAACCGTTACATGCCACGCCACGTCTTGCTTTCCCGAGTCTTGGCACCCGACCCGATGTGACCAAAGTCAGGAACGAGGTTCCGAGAAGAGGGGGTGGAGAGGCCGTAGATCTCAAAGCGATGCATGATGATCAGATATTTTCGTGTATTCGGCAAGCGGATGTGCAAGTCCTGGGAACTGTTGAATTGGGAAGCGGTGATAAACACGTGCGGATTCGGGAGGTCGGGAGGTAGTTGAGTGCATGATGAAGGACAGGAAGGACATGAAGGACAGGAAGGATAGGAAAGGCTTGGAGCGCTTGGGGGGGCTTAGAAGGGAAGGTATATGACTGACGATATTGGGACGAGGTTCCCATTGCTTATACCCAGAGGTGCCTCTATGCATGCGTGATGACGATCTCCGCAGTCGGTTGTCTTCTTCTTCCTTCTCCCGAAGTCGACGACTGCCAGATCAGAGAAAGGTGACCTCTCGTCCGCTTCTTTCCACCACCTCCTCCTCCTCTTCTCGATTCTTGTGCTCCTTGCAGGATCAACCCTTTTCATCCCTCCCGTCCTCGTCCTCAGGCCGCAAACGTTGCCGACCACAATCGCATCCCGCAAGATGAAGTTATCCAACGCCCTCACCAGCGGTGCCCTAGTTGTACAAGCTGCCACCGCCGCCGCCGCCGCCGCCGCAACCACCTCCGGCGACCTAACAATCCTCTCCATGAACGTAGCCGGCCTCCCAGCAATACTCAACCCGAATGATGTTGCAGGAGGCAAGAAGGCTGCCGCAAAGACGATCGGAAGCAAGTTTGCGGAGTATGGGTATGATGTTATTCATGTGCAGGAGGTGAGTTTTTTTGTCTTTTTTTTGTGAAAAAAAAAGTCTGTCATGTTTGGGAAGAGGATAGGGGCAAAGGGGAGTGGTGGGTTGGATGAGTTCGGATGACGGGAAGTTGGGACCGAAGTGGAAGCGGCGGGAAGTAAGCGGAGCGGGAGCGGGAAGTGCCCATGAGAAGCGGGAACCAAGTGGGAAGCGGGAAGCGGGAGTGGAAAGGCACGTCGGCGGCGGGTACATCGGACGGGAGGCGCGTTTGAGGTGTGGGAATGCACGTCTTGTGTCATCCCGTCTCACGCACCACACCCGCCGGGCACATAATGCACGCCGGCGACGTTCCTCTCGTATCCGCGTCCGCGTCCGCAGTCCAAGAAAATCCCACTTGAGACCAACCACTATAACCCAAACACAAACGCAGCCCATCCCATCCTCCTTCACTGAAACTCCCTTCCGTCTCCTATCCATTTCCTACCCGTCCACCGTCTTCGCTCTCTTCTTCTTACCACGAATCTTACTAACGTTCACCAGGACTTCAACTACCACGCTCACCTTTACTCAACAGACACCCACCCCTTCCGCACCCCAACCTCAGGCGGCGTCCCCTTCGGCTCGGGCCTCAACACTTTATCCACCCTCCCCTGGCTCTCCGGCTCTTTCCTCCGTCAAAAATGGGATAAATCCTCGTGCGCTTCCGAATTCGATTGTTTGACTCCGAAGGGGTTCACGTTCATGCGCATCGCTTTGTCCCCTTCTTCCTCCTCTTCCCCTTCCTCTGATGCCTCCGATGCCCCCGATGGGAAAGAAAGTGAGGTGTATGTCGATTTCTACAACCTGCACACAGACGCCGGCACCCAACCCTTGGACCTAAAAGCGCGCAACGACAACCTCCGCCAGATCACGGAGTGGATCAACCACAAAAGTAAAGGAAACGCCGTGTTAGTGTACGGTGATGTCAACTCCCGCTACTCACGGGCGGGAGACACGGGTATTCGGTCCTTACTAGCATCCGAAAATCCTACCGGTCCTGCGGGCTTGACAGATGTCTGGATCGAAATCCATCGTAACAGCATCCTCCCGTCCGACGCTACGGTATGCGGCAACCCAGCTGAAACAGCGACTTGCGAAATCGTCGACAAGGTTCTTTATCGGTCTTCGCCGTTGGTCAAACTGCAGCCGACAGCGTTTGAGTATGCTGCTCCAAAATTCTTGAGTGCAGAGGGAGGGGTACTGTCAGATCATAACCCCGTCTTAGTAAACCTTACTTGGTCTGCTGGTCAAAAATTGAGACAGTCGGGGTTCTGGGGAGGCGCGAGTTATGGGACTTGGTTCAACGACGCTACTATCCTCGATGAGACGCCCGAGCCTGTCAAGGCCAAAAAGATTACCTTCCGCGGTGGTAGTCGGCTGGATGCCGTTTCTCTCACCATCTCTCACTCTGATGGAAAGGGAACTACGGAGCTCGTTCATGGCGGACGCGGCGGGACTGAATCTTCTCTTGTCTTGGGAGAGGGAGAGCACTGGGTCAAGTCCGAGCTGTGCCAGGGGAAGAAGGGTGATAAGACACGCAACTTTTACATTCAAGCTACTACTAGCAAGGGCAGAACGCTGGAGGCTGGCACGAGGACGAGCGACTGCAAGGTGTTTGTGTCCGAGGAGGGGTGGCAGGTTGTGGGCTTTTTGGGAGAGAGTGGGGATGAGGTTGATTTGCTTGGTTTTATCTATGGGAAGATTTAGTGTGAATGAAGGTGTCTTTGGGAAGTGATTGGAATGGTGAAGGAGCTTTGGGGTTTAATTGGTGATGTGGTGTATGTGAGGATCAAGCAGATCAGGCCACTACATAGGCGGGATATGATGTTGAATTGGGAATTTGCGATTGCGCCATTCTGTATCTATCTGGAAGGAAAAATTTGATGACTATCGATGTGGATAAGTCCAACACTAACAAGAGAAAGGTGAAATAGGGGACCTGTCTTACACAGTACACGTACTTGGCGCGGGGGCGGACGGCCGGACTCGGAGACGGGAGCAGCGCCGGGAGGGACGGTGCGCCGTGGAGTGTGGACATCGTGGAGCTATCATCGTTTTGCCCCGTAAGACCCCGAAACTAGTGATCCTTTGTGTGATCCGTGTGGACCAAATACAAGCAGACCATTGGCCAATTGCCTCAAATTCTGTGATCATTAGCGTGCTCTATTGTGATCAAATCCCCAACCGTTGATGTTCATACATGTAATCTTCAGCCATTGTAAAATCCCGCTCGCTCGCTAGTCTAGGCCTGCTTGGATGTCTCACTTCGATGTCGTCCGATGCCCAATTGCACCTCGGCAGAGATTTTCTGCGGAAATAACGGTTGGATGTAGAAGGGTTTCATAATTAGAAAAATACCACGTTTTATCCGAGCTCGCCGATTAACTTGTAAGCGACTGCCAATGGCAAGAGTATGGGTGCTTGAACTTGGCGATAGCTTCAACTCACATGACTGGAAGGTCGCGCAGGTCATCACCACTAGCCTACCTATAAGCTCCACTAGGAACACGAGGTAGGATTCTCATTTTTCGCCGCGTGGTGAAGGATTTTACTGTACACCATGTAACAACCAACAGAAACACGCGAAGAAAAAAATGATTCTTTATCTTCATCTCCATTCAGCAGATCCAGCAGGAATGATCCGTATGTCACCGTTAGTGTCCGTTCGGGGCGCTTGCGCTTCAGAGCGGACTGCGGAATAGAGGCCGAAAAGGTCCATTGAGCCAGTGAAGTTCTCATTCTCAAGGTCCGAGGATCTTCGATCGAGTGATCGACTGGTGTCCTCCACTGCACTTGTTGCTGACATTGTCAGAACTGTAACTGTGATAGCAAAACTTTTCCCGTCACTTTTTGTCAGTCTTCCCTCCCTTTATCCTTGTTATGCCCCGTTATTTGCATGCCAAGCCACCATGGATTCTCCAGATTTCTTTCATTGCTCTCCCCACAAGGGAACCACAAGCCCATCCAGCAAATGTATAAGTTCGTTGCTCTCAATGGTCCAGTTCCCCTGGCTCTAACCAAAATGCCTGGTCGACCGAGGGACCATTTCCGCGAACAATCACAGCCGGCGTGGGCGGTAACTGGGTGTGTGGGTTTGGTCCATTCAGATGTGGCTGGGGTCGCTGAGCAATTAGAAGTCGCGATGACTATGCTACCCAGGGTAGTGATCGTCGCATCCACTGGGAGCAGCAGTGGACGATAAGATTGCATTGAATCTCGGGCAGGCTTATTAGCTCAATGCGCTATGATAGACGACCATGGTTGGCTCGGCCTGGATTAGATCGGTAGTTGAACGCTCGTCATTGATTGATTGACACACGAGGTTGTGAGTAAGTGTAAGTGGAATTTTTGTATCTTAAGACATGTGATAAAACCTGTTTCCAGAAGGTGAAGACGGGAACGGTGGTTTTGTACAACTTTGTTGATATGTTGGAGCGTAGCACTTGCAACACAACACCATGAGCCGTAGAAATATCAGCAATGCAGACACACGGTTTTGCAGCATCAATTGTGCCGTTCCCAGGCTTTGCAACAGCTCCGCGAGCTGCCGCGTTCTGCAAGGTACGATAAACACCAATATATGCACATGCAAAAACGGGAAGGATCATCAGCTCTGTGGGGGGATGGGGGAGCTGAGAGCCCTAGACACTCGCCTGGCTCGGTTAGCTGATGCTTGGCCGCTCGCCTCGGGTGTAATTCATCGCTAGAAGGCGCACTTTCGGCATCTCTTGAAAAGGGATCAGCCCGAGTGATTTGCCCTTGTCGTTCGGCCTTGTTATTGTTCGCTTGAAGGTTTTTGAAACGGGCGCGAAGAAACCGTTCCCCTGTTGAGATAAGTCTTTCCTGTAAATACCGACATGGTGAAAGCTGAATGCAACGAAAAATGTAGTCAGTCTGGGCATTTCCTGCGCCAAGTAGCTGCTGATATTATTAGTCCTAGAGAGTCTTGTCAGTTTCCGGGTACCGAAGCAATGCGACGTCGGCAGGAAAAATGCAACTCCACGGACACTCCACGAGATTGCTATCGCTATATCAGAGTCGTGATAAGCCTCGGTATCGCCGTTCCCAGTATGAACTGACGGAACGGTTCTGCTGTTCGCTGAAAGATCGCCGAAGGTGCAGAGGCTCTTTCTGTGATGATCCGACTGCCAGATGTAAAGGCATTTCAGCTCCATTGGGAGGCACATCAAAGGGCCGATATCGCTCAAGAAGGAACGAGACGATGTACTCAGCGCAGTTACCCGTCTCCGCATTGTGATTGCATTGTGATGGAGTGATGGTGGTAAAAGCCCGACGCCAGGATGCAACCCACCTGTGTACTGACGCGTAGTAAGCTATTTGATGATTGCGTGTGATTTGAATGGTGTCAGTGTACGCTCAATGTTGTAGTTGCTCACTTTAAAGCCTCACGCTTGGTGAGTTTGATAGCGAAGTCACAAGCTATTTGAGTGATAAGGTAGTGCCTGTTGGGCTTATTATCGTCGTTGGCGGGCTAAAATGAAGGACCCAAGTCCATAACACCGGGCCTTTAAGGCTGCTTAAGTTGCTCTCGGCGGTTGTAAAACTCCACAAAAAGGCCCATATCCGAGTTTCTTTGCCACTTGAAAGCAATGCATCATCTTACCCGAGACCGTGGCTCCATGGCTTTGTTAATCTGCTGTGATCCGACGACGGCGACCGGAGATGCGACCAGTTGTTAGGGGCAATGTTGAAGAGATTTGTTGACGGGCGGCAAAGGCGCCTAAAGAATGAAGTGTTGGCTCGATTTTTAGTAATGATTTGGACGAGGTTGCGCCAACAGCCAATAGTTCCAATATTTGGACCCAAGAAACAAAGAAGGTTTCGGGAAAACGGGCCCGGGGCGACCTGAAGAACCAGAGGACAGACACCCCACAACCTACCAACCAACCACTCACACACCGAGGCCGGAAGATAGGAAGATACGAGAAGGACGTTCCGCTATTCGTTCGCAGCGAATCTTCATGACGGTGGGCTTATGGTGTGAAGATGTGGCGGCGGGGAAGGATTTGTGGCCTCTGAGTATGGTCATGAATAATCGTCTTGGCTCTGCGATAATTGCATGGCAATCGAGCTCTGGACCACGGTTACTCGTGTTCTTTTTCGGTGCTGCCTCGTTGCATCATGAGACAGCTTCTGCAGCGGGCTCTTTGAATGGCGAAAAGTGGTGAGTAAAAAAGGAAGAACATTTTGTTCCTTGGGTTCTCGACCCATGGCTGTGTGCGCCTTGTCGTGCTCGTCTTGCATGCGATCGACCGAAGGAACTGGATATTTGGTGATGGATTCATGTCTCTCGACTCCTGGTCCTGGTCCGGAATGCGTACCCAAGCGGACGGTTCTAGTAGGTATCCGGTTCCCCGATAGCTTCGAATAGATTGGAACAGGCAGAGGCTGAGTGTCTGAGGATTAGAATAGTGGGAGAGTGGGCAGGACTGGGCAGGACCTGAGGCAGTGATGCTAAGCCTGAATGGTCACCAGCGTCCGGCGGGGAGGACATCCGGTCATTCAGTTGGGTTAGTTGACGAAGGCTGCTCATGATTAATGGAAGACGGAACTCTCCATGGTCGAAGCAAAAAAAAAAGAATGAGGGGTGAGGGGCAGTCGGCCTCGCCTCATTCCAGTGCATCCGGCGTACATACGTGTAGTAGTTGACTGACGAGTTTGCTGGTGGTCCTGGCTGTAATGAAAGTGATCTTGGACGTGCAAGTGGAACAGTGTGACAACCATGGACATGGTGATGGATGTGATGACGAGCCTTGGTTCGGGCACTGGGCCAATTGCAGGGGGAAAGGAGGTGATGGAGACTTTTGTTAGGCGAAGTACACTAACCTCTTGTAGGGGTCCCCAACATGGCGCCTCCGTCACGTGCTTTGGCGAAGGATCGAATTGACCCTGATTCAGCTCGGATATTGTTTGAAGAGCGGGTATTCCACCACAGAGATGTTGTCGACTGGATTGATGGAGTCAATTTTTGATGATGGTTGAAGATGCGGAAAAGAAAGAACGAATTGAAAAAGGGAAACAGGGGAACTGAAGGTGACAACTGGAAGTCGTCTTGGCTTGGGTGGCTCGTGCTTCTGTCAGCTTCATAGTGGCTCGTGCTTCCCGCTTGTTTGTGTGATTGTGGAGATTTGCCCGTGCCCACTTGTTCCTCGCTGCTCTTGTTCCTGCAGTGATCGACTCGCACTTGTGCACCTCGACGGCTCGAGACACACGAACCTTGAACAACTTTGATGCTCACTGCAGCTTGTCCGATTCGTTGTCTGACAGATAACGATGCCGCTTTCGGGTGTTACACCACCGCTTTTTTGATGGCTGATCACGAGGAGGACGCCATTCCGATATCCGCCCATACGAGATATGGAATATCTTGTGTTACCCGTCTACCGTCTTTTGGTGATTAATGAAGAACTGGAAACTTCAAGATTGTTCTATCTCCAGCATTTGGGATGTCCATGGATATGGAACGTTACCCAACTCTCCCCGTACCTAGCCCTGGTTGACCCAGCAGTGCACCACCACAACGTCATGCTCTCCTCGCTTCCATTGCTGTGGTGCCATGAAATCACGCTATGGAATGCTTGGGTTTCTCCGTCATCGGAGTAGGAGTCAGAGTCAGTTTAGCATGTCATCGATTCCCAGAGGTAGCCTGTGTTTGTTTATCATCAAGGGGCTACCATCCTCACCACAATACACACACACAGCAGAGTATCTTCAACTCTTTAGACTGGTACCCCGAATTATCCCCATCTTCATCTCCAAGCGGAGTCTCTCGCACGGGCACCCGTCCCCCCGCACATGTTGCCGTTCCCTTTCCCCAAACCATATATCCGCTCCAAACCCGGACCGATATCCATACCGGCTCGGGGCGATGGTGATAGATCAGAGGTGATGTGCCGATGATCATGTCGGTAGCTTTTCGTCTCGTCCAAGATTGTTGCGATTTCTCGTTTCCCGACTGGTGTCCGCGTTCTTGTTTCGCGGTCCGCTCTCTCGCCAGTTTGGAGTCCCGGGGTTGCACAAGCCACAAAAGTCTTGATCTCTGAATCCCAAAACAGCATTTGATATTCTCCCAGCCGGGGCGAGGACATCCAAGCGATCCGTGTCCCCTCGAACTTGCTCAGAATGGTGTTATTAGCGTGGGGACTATCATGGACCATAACCCATACCTGTGCCTTCCCCAAGTCTCCCCAACTGGGAATCTTAACACAGGGGGAAATGAATTGCGGTCGGGCCTGTCGGTTTTTGGGTGTCAAATGCACGGCAGGGTCGTTGATCCATGTCCCAGGTCGTTTTGACCCCACTCGTACCTCGCCGCGGTGGTGGAGACAGTGGGCCTGGTGGGAACGGGCCAGGCACTTTGCAGGGACTTGCAGGGATTCGGCAAGGGCTCTTTCCTCTGGACTCGTCGTCGTCGCTCGTCTCTTTTTCTGCGGTTCATCCATCACGAGCGACATGGGGAAAGGACGGGCTCTCTCACAACTTTGGAAAGGCTCTCAATTCGTATAGAGTCGGTACATTGCAACATGTCGTGCGCGCCGTGATCCGACTGTACCACTGCCTGATGGCTTTGGCTTTTGGGCCCGGCGACATGGGATTGGATGGAATCACTTTGCGAATTCCTTCAACTGGGCGGCCCTTCCCTCCTTCCTCACCTCCGTCATCCTCCTCCTCCTTCGGTCCCGTTTCTTGTCCTCTCTTTTCGTACCTTCCGGTTTGGATCTTGGACACACGGTATCTTATCCACACACGACACTCGTTCATTCCCCAGATCACTACGAGTCTACGAGAGATCTTCAGGAATCAACCTTGAGGAAAAAGCTTTGCCCTGGTTTGGCCCACTAAACTGATTAACTTCAACTTGATCAATTCAATCACTTCTTCCATTCATCTTGTCTCATAACCGAGTTGCTCGACGCACTTACACGATTCAAAGTCACTCGCTATCATCAACCCTCGAGTTGATTATTACCACAACCACAGTTCCAACAACATCATAACAGGTTCGTATCTTGAGTCTCACCAGTGCTTCACTTTCCACCTCACCACAGCAAACTTGGTACCTCAAATGTATCTCGGATCAAGCCATTCAACTGTCTTATCGCGCTTTCCGCAAACTTCCATGGCCTGGTCTGGATTGCCTGGGGCAGGGCAGAGTTCACTTTCCACTTCACTTCAGTTTCCTCTTCAGATCTCCTCACTGTGTTCTCGCCCACTACCCAAATGTCACTCCGCCCCCGGGCCCCTGGTATGCAATTATATGCACTTAAACAGTACCCGGCCTCGATTGCTGGTGTCATAACACATTCCTCCCTTTGTCTTTTTGCCTCCTTCTCCTCCTGCCACATCAACCACTGCACTCCCAAGCCTCCCTACATTCCAATACATTCCTCAACAACATCCTGTTCCCTATTCAGCTTGTCAGGTCAAAACAAGTCGGCCATCCTTGTTTTTCCTAGGTTTGCTTGACAGCCTAGCTAATAACCCTCCCGTCTCAGAACAACCCTCGACGGCGACCAAACTCGACGACAAACTACATCTCAACCCGCACTCGTTTCAATACCCAGCCGTGCATAACTCACCACCTGACACTAGACAACACACGGCTCGACAGGGAAAGGAATTGCTTGCACTCACACATCCCATTGTTCCGACAACTCACGTCACCCTCATCGACTTACACGAAGCTCTACTCACCTGCGACCCTGTTACTCAAAATACTCGAAACCCCACCGCAAATATCGACGACGCAACTCTGCGCCTTCAACTTAGTCAAGTAGATTGGCTGGATTCTTCCGTTTTCTGGACTTTGCCCGGGGTCCTTAACCTTCCGGCACATGTTTAGCTCAGGGCTCCTCGCATCCGACAGCCATGGCATCGCAGAGTAGCCGACCCATGCGATCAAGCCTGCAGGTAGCCCCTTTGGCCATACAAAAGACAGATTCGACAAACGAACCATATAACAACAATGGGTCCGACGCAGGCTCGACCCTCGCATCTTCCCGCTCTGCCCAATCCGAAATGACGTCCCAAAGCGAATACTTTATCGACAATGATGTCAACAATGCTCCTCCCATCTTTCACAACTTCCTTCAGGCCGTTCACCCTTTTCACCCAGAGTATGCCATGGCAGACTCAGCCGTCACCATGCCACTAACGGAAAAGGATATCGTCTTGGTGCATTCAGTGCACACTAATGGCTGGGCTGACGGCACTCTGTTGAAAGACGGCACTAGGGGGTGGCTTCCGACTAATTACTGTGTTCCCTACAACCCAGAAGAGATGAGAATACTTCTCGGAGCCCTGGTCAATTTCTGGGATCTCCTGCGAAGTGCATGCATAGATGACCGGGAAATGTTCGGGGACAAAAAGTTCATGAGGGGTCTTGCTGGTGGTGTGATATCCTTGCTGGTAGGTTGTTAACACCCTTCAACTCATTTCGCTCTTCCCAGCTAATAATTTTGACAGAACAACACTGGGTGTTTGCAGAAAGACTCTTCAATTCTGCAAAGACACACTGAGCTCAAGCACAGCCGAAAGAAGATCTCTGAAGAACTCGAAGCGCTGGCCCGGACGGCCAGCAAACTGGACAAGAAGCTCAAGTCTTCGCACAGGCTGATTCGCGCAACAGAACAGCAGGTTAATGAAATGGTGGATGACATGATTCTGAGAGCTTTTCGAGTTGTCTCAAGGGCGGCCGAATTCTTCGACATGGTTCAACACGACAAGTCCGAGCGACTGACATCAGCAATGATTATGGAGACCGTGATGGAAGAGGAAGACATGACGCCTACTACCGATCCGGCGGTACTAGCCAGATCCTGCGACGCCATTGATGCACGCTCCCGTGCCGACAGCAATGGAAGCGCAGCCGGGCCAACGCCTTCAGAAACAAGCAAGGCCCCCACAAACGGCCGTTTGTCCCCCGCCTACCTACCGAGTACAAATGCGAACCGGTTGTCTCATGGGAACTCTCTCGAAATCGCCAACCGTCTCTCGTCTGCAACCATTTGCCACCGTGTCAGTCTGGCTGGCCCTTCGCCCCTCTCGCAGGCTCACAACCTCGTCTCCGAACGTCTCACCAAAATACACGATATCCTCCTATCTGACCTTGCTTGCTTGACGGGCCGTCTGCAATTGGAATTCCTCTCCCGTCCTGATCTGGCTCTCGGTGTCAAGCAAGCCATTACATCTGGTGGGGATCTTTTGCTGGTTATGGACGTTGTGTCAGCGCGAAACTCTCTCAGCATCGAGACGCTGGCCCCGCTTCGTGCCGTCATGTACGATCGCATCCAAGACCTTTATCAAACAGCACGCGACGTTCTCGTCCATAACATGGAAGGCGCCATTGTACCGCAAGAAGGCCGCCGCTTGCACGTTGCCGCCGTGGGCTGCGTCAGACTCTCTGGAGCATGCCACGCCAAGACGAAGTGGGTTATTGGACAGATTGGCGATTTCGAGTTCGAGTTTGAGAATGGCAGTCTCGATTTAGGCTTTAATCTTTCCACGTTTGACGCTGTGCTGGAGGCGAAGGATAATCATGCTGCCGACTCCGTCAGCATTGCCGATTCTAACATGTCAGAGGCATTGACTATGTCAACCACTGTCACGGCTGCCTCTACACCTGCACCAAGGCCAACAAATCTGGAGCTCAACAAGCCGCTCCCTGATGTTCCGCTTGTTTCGACTCCAATTGTGGAAACGTCACCGGAGGCTATCGAAGAATCGGCATCCGCTGAGAACATCTCATTAGTGTCTTCTCTCCGTGCTTCTTTACCTCCCCTTCCTAAGCTCTCTACCGAGATCCCGCCTGCACTGGACTACAGCCCTACCGAGGGATCCGCTACTCAAGATGGCGAGTTCCGTTTTAGGGCCGAGAGCATGACTGCTTCAAGTTCCGCATCCGCTACTACTTATATCAGCCGGACATCGGAGTCAAGCATGGTCTCCCAGACATCCACTCGAGCCACGACTCCGGATCTCACTCATGCTCCCAGGAACCATCCTTCGGTATCTGAACTGAGCCTGTCGGACAGCGCAACGCTCAGTGACGATAGCGATGATGCCGAGTCTAAGCTGCTCGAGAAGACCTATGCGCATGAGCTGATTTTCAACAAAGAAGGACAGGTGACTGGAGGTTCCCTTCCGGCGTTGGTTGAGCGTCTCACTACCCATGAGTCGACTCCTGACGCCATGTTTGTGTCCACATTCTACCTCACCTTCCGCTTGTTTTGCACACCGCTCAAGCTTGCTGAGGCCCTGATTGACCGCTTCAACTACGTTGGAGAGGCTCCTCATGTCGCTGCCCCCGTCAGGCTGAGGACTTACAATGCTTTCAAGGGCTGGATGGAGTCACATTGGCGGGAGGATACTGACACGGAAGCGCTGCCTGTGATTAAGAACTTTGCCGAGTCAAGACTCAAAGAGGTTTTGCCTTCTGCTGGAAAGCGACTGCTTGGCCTCGCCGAGAAGGTGGCTAACAGCGACGGTACTCTTGTGCCCCGTCTGGTCTGCTCCATCTCCAAGACCAGCTCTTCCGGTTCTCAGTTCATTCCTGCCGAGACTCCTCTCCCCTCGCCCAATCTCTCGAGGGGCCAAGTACACGCACTCGCCAACTGGAAGGCCGGCGGTGCCTCCCCTTCCATCATGGATTTTGATGCGCTTGAGATCGCTCGCCAGATCACCATCAAGCAGATCGGTCTCTTCTGTTCCATCACTCCCGAGGAGCTTCTCGGCTCCAAGTGGACCAAGAACAAGGGTGTCGGCGCGCCCAATGTCAAGGCCATGTCTACTTTCACCACTGGCCTGTCCAACCTTGTCGTGGACACTATCCTCCAATTCGATGAGATCAAGAAGCGGGCCGCCGTCATCAAGCACTGGATCAAAATCGGCAGCCAGTTTCTGGCTCTTAACAACTACGACGGTCTGATGGCCGTCACCTGCGCCCTCAACGACTCCAGCATCAAGCGCCTGCGGATGACATGGGATACCATCAGCTCCAGGCGCAAGGAGACGCTCAGGTCTCTGCAATCCATTGTCGAAATCAGCCAAAACCACAAGGCGCTCAGAGCTCGGCTTGCCGACCAAGTCCCTCCCTGCCTTCCATACGTCGGCATGTTCCTGACCGATCTCACCTTTGTTGATGCGGGCAACCCCTCCAAGAAGACGACTGACACGGGCCTGACGGTTATCAACTTCGACAAGCACACGAAGACGGCCAAGTGCATCGGCGAGCTGCAGCGGTTCCAAATCCCCTACCGCCTCACCGAAGTGCCGGACTTCCAGGAATGGATCCTTTCGCAGATCGAGAGGGCGAGAGAGATAGAAAAGACGGATAAGACGCCTGCTCAGTTGTTGCACTACCGTCAGAGTCTGTTGCTGGAACCGAAGGAGGTTCAGCAGAACTTGCGGGCTCAGATGGAGGCCGCGCCCTCGAGTTCAAACATGTTCTCGTGGATCAGGAATAACCATTCTACTCATGGCTTGCCTACCTCTGCGCAAGTCTAGTGCACTTTATATGAACAATGTTCATCATCATCGGCATCGGACGTCAGCGATGCGCAGCCACACGCGTGCTGTATACCTGTTTCGTGAGGTGGCCTCACCACTCACATTTTTTTGTTATTTTTTCTCTTGATACCCATCTCTGTTTGTTTTGTTTATTCTATTTATGGCGTTATGACATACGAGTCGGACCTACACGGTGTACATCATCCTGTCCTTACCGAGGACAGCAACAACACGAGCTCATCGCGGCTCATCATCATAACTTTTACACTTAATCGCCGACTCACTGTCGCGTCATTGCAGCTTTGCCCGGACAAGGGCCTTCAGTGCTGCTTTTTGCTTTGTTCATTATTTTTACTTTGTTGCTTTCAGGATCATTGGCGCATTTACTGGGTTGGATTGGATGGGTTCTTTGCTCCATTTTTTTTTTTTGGGGGGGGGGGG